AACGTTGGCAGACAATCTCCACTTATCAGTAAACTTCTTCGCCGCGTCAATTTGCAGTTGCGGTCCTTCAGGGGTGTCCCACATACCGACAAAATCATCCACAAACAGCATTCCTGAAACCGACGCGTCCGTGTCCCCTACTTTTACTCCCTTACGGACTGCCTCTACGACTTCCAACAGATCGTTGATGAACACCTGGAACAATGTTGGGGACAGCGTGCAACCTTGTGGGACCCCCTGCTCAATGTCGAAGAATTTAGACACTTCTCCGAGTAGCATGACCGCGCTATCCGTACACTCTGTCATCTTCTTCAGTACTCTCCACATTTTCCCTTGAAATGAATACCCGCGTGCAAAACCCAATGGCAAGTACGCGTAAGTGCGACGCAGCGGCAATTTCAGTATGAACAGCGTAGGCCGAGGGTTGAGCCATACGGGCAGGTAGTCTTGAAGCGCGTAGTAGAAAGATGGTTGAAACCTGGATGCGTATTGGTTTGAATCCAAATCCGTTTGATATATCCGTGTAAATGAGTGGCTGGGTGGTGCATGTGTGCGAAAATGTCATGATGATTTTGTCCATCATGTCCTGGGTCACCAAAGGCTTTTCTAGCAATTGCTCTGAGGAGACACGCTCCATCATCTACTTCTAAACTATTCCATGCTGATGGCGGCGTACGTCCCAAGGTTGACACTGCGAATGGAAACGAAGCACCAACCATTAGGTTTCGGGTACGTTGTGGTACGCCAGGTGCGTCGACGGCTTGCAGGATTTCCACCGACGAAACCTCGGGGATGCCAATGTTCTCTCATCAATGCTAGATAGAATGGGGTGTTCGGGGCGCGCCGGCCGGGGTCATGAAGATAGATAATCGGCAAAACCAGAAAATAGTAAGCAACCGAATATACGGGAGGAATGCCACTTCACAACAGCACTCAGACAGGCATAGGATCTAGACGGAGCAGCGTGTGTTTCTACCAAAAAATAAAACATTTGAAAGGTGGACACACGTATGCATACACAGCAGCAGCAGCAGCGGCAGGACTTGGACGCGAAGAGAGTGAGAACCGACAACAGGGCGTGTTCAAAAGGGAGGGCAACGAGAGAGGCAGAACCTGCACCAGCACCAGCTGTTAGAGCCAAAACGGCGTCCCATCTCTCACATTGCTACTTGAATGGCAT